ATCCTGTTTAAAAATGGCAGAGCACTGGTCATACCAGACATGATCTTGGTTTTGGTGAAGTTAAGAACATTGTTCAAAAGGTCCAGCCATCAGAACTACAGTATGAAAAAAACAAAGCTTGTGCTGTGTAGAAAAAGAAAAAAGTTACTTTAAGTCTAGGCAGACTTAGTAAGTTGGAATTTTCTTTACTTTGAAGAACTCTTTCTGAATCTCACCTGGCCCGGGAAGCTGAAAGCTGGTTTCTTTCAAGCAAGTATGTCTAGCTAGACTCAATTTGCAGAACCACTCGGGGTGTTACTGTTTTCAATCCAGAGCCAGGTAAACTGAAAAATTTTCAGTTGAACAGACACATGGAGGGGGCATTTTGGAGGTCATCCTTGCTGTAGATAGCCTTCAGCTTTGCTTTTTAGGTCTTGTGGAATAGTGATGAGACTGACATGAGCACCAACTGCTTTACAGAGCTGCCTTTCATGAGCAGCAGAGTGCAGTAAGGCAAGTTCGAGCTGTGTAATAACATGAACACATGGAGGTTTTTACTGTTTGTTTTCTGCGTATGCCTTGACCTTTATGAGAACTGAACTCCTTTATCTTGAAAATACTGTTTCTCCTTTGAATGAGTGTATTTACTACAACACTAGTAGTACAGAAGTAGACAGAAAGTGCACAGAAACATGTATCCCTCTGTCCTGCTTCCAAGCCCAAGCCAGCTCTGTAGCCTGCATGGTGCTTGACAGAATTTTGTTTCCTTCCCTGTGCCTCTCAGCCATCTGCCATGCTGGCACAGATGCTTTGGTTTTGAAAGGTCGCAGATTTCCCACTTACTTCATACACTGGGAGTAGTCGTGTATTGCCTTTTTAGTTGCCTTTAGTTTCAACCCAGGTGAGCAGCAAACAGGAGGAATGGCATTGCCTGTCTTCCCCTTAGTCTGTGATCACTAATAATCTATTTCTGTTTTCCTGTTGTTTGATATTGAACTATTAATTGTAGTAAAAGTCTCCACTTGTAGTCATAAATAATTAGCATCTTGTTCTAGTGGTAGTTGGATTCTTCAGTTTGTTTACCTCTATTACCCTTTCCAGTTAGTGCATCCCACTCAGCTGCAATACGAGAGGAATTTTAGTATTGGGGTGTCTCAGCAAATTTCTTGTGCTTCATGCATGCATTACACTTGCCTGATAAGAGATAAATTGGGACCCTGGTGATTCTGAGTGCTTACGCTTCCCCTGAGTTTGGGAGTTGAAGTCTTCCTCTGGAAATTCTTTTATTTTTTTCGCCCCCTCCCCCCTGCACTTCACAAAGAACTGTACATGGAAGAAGATCTGTGCCCCTAGTTCCAAAACCAGACTGCAGTGACCCCAGAGTGAGGGCCCTGACTAGGCCAGCTTTATCTGTCTCTGTTAATGCTATCTACTGATGGTTTTATGTGTGTGGACTCAGGCTGTGTTTATTTCCACATCTCGTCTTGTGGTGAATGTGGTTCTGTAGCTGTTTGATCTTTAGAGCTTTGAGGGTTTGTTTACATCTGCATTTCCAGTTTCAGGTGCTTCATGACAAGGCAGGCTCCTCTTGGTAACTACTGAAAACAGGCTCAGCAGTTACAAGCACTGAGCAAACAAGTCCTTCTTGCAGCTTTCTTAAATATATAGCAGTGAAGTGGCCAGGATGGAGACAGAAACCTTCTGTCTCATGCTCCGAGGGTCTTGCCACCAGTCAGAGATCTGTTGAGTGGGATCCGTTTCCCTGTGGCCCATTCTGTAAAGAGGAATCCTCAGAGATGTTCTGGGGTAGGAAACTCTTCTGTGCTTCAGTACATCTCAAACTGTCTGATTTTTCTGTTTGGGGAACCCTCTTACAGTGTCACTCTGTAGATAAAGGCTTTCTCAGTGGAGTGAACTAATATCAGCACATAGTAAATGTCAGCAATCACATAAATATATGTTGATACTCTTAGGTTGAGTATATTATGTTGTGAATCTGTATTGCATTTGAGAGTTCAGCTCATTATTGTATAGAGGGAAACTTACTTTTAATTTAGAGTGATTTATTTCTGTTTGGCAAAGTTCACTTTGACATGTGTTAATTATATTCAGCCATGCCCAAGTAATGTCTGTATTTCTAAAAGGTAGACAAGAAAAAGGATGTACTTTAGGATTGAAGTAGGTAGAGCATGTAAGTAGGAACAGTTAATTATTGTTTATTAAAATTAAACAAAAATTTTTTTTAACCTTGTTGCTTGTTTAATGTGATGCGTGATACTGGAGTAGCATGTGAAAATGAATGCTCCAGTTTGACACTAAAAATACTGAAACATTTGGGATATTTGTTAATTAACTGTGCACGCTAATTTTGATGTTAGTAAAGAAGGGACAACTTTGGTATTATGCATGCACTGCTGCATGCATCTTTGGAATTCAGCTGAGAGTTTTTTAACAAGTCTAGCATGTACAGCTGTTAAATATTCAGTTGGTGGTTTTTTTTGTTGCTTTTTTTTGGTTTGGTTTTTTTTTTCTCTCTTGCTTTCTACAAATTCTAGATGCCCTTTTTTATGGTGTCAGTTACCATTTGCAATCTTAAATTGAGGATTTTTACAGATTTCCTCATATCTCACCAGTTTGGCAGATTGATTTCTGATCATCCATGTGGATTTAGAGAATATTGTTGATTACACACTGTAGCCATCTTTCAAGGACAGAAAATGATGAAATGCTTCTTTGAGGGAAGGACAGTGTCACTATATATACACTGACAAGTTGTATTTCCTGCCTGAATTTCTGTCTCTGTCAACATCCTACCTATTCAGGGTAAGATTACAAGTTTTGGTAAACATAAAAGTCAGAAGTTTGGACAAGTGAGAATTGGACACAGAGGCCTAAAATTATTTGGGTTTGGGGTTTTCTGTATTCCAGTTTTCCTGATGGTCTCTTTGCAGTGATTTTTTTCAGTAAGAAATGAATGTATTTACTGAGGCTTAAAGTGATGGAACTAATTTATTTGTTTTGAGAAGAAGGCTGTGTTCTGAATACTTGGAAGGTGTATTTACTTAAAATGTCACCATTGTGTCAGTAATTATTTTTCTTCAGCTGGGAATAACTTCTGTATAAGATGCTGTTCGTGCATTCCAGTTTGATCTAAAGACACATTAGAAATTACCTCACTGCATCTTTAGACTGTTTCAGTACGTGGTCATAGTATTTGGCTTTATAAATGTGACCCATTTCCCTTGAAATTTTGATTTATTAGCTTGAGAATTGAAAGAGAGTCAATTTACACCTTGTGTGAGTGATCCTGCTTCTCAGGTGCTACTAAGATAAAATACTGTCTGTCTTTGTATGCTGGATATGCCTTCGTGTGATGCAAATGAGATGGGGATAACGTATCTCAGAAAAGGTTGTATAATCCTTTATATGGCTGCCTTATAGGCTGTTTTTTTTCTACACATTCTGTAGTCTTAGCCAGAAAAGACCTTTTTATTTCTTCTTTGTTAGCTTTTTAAAGAGCCTAGTTCATTGTTACATTAAAATAAGGCCAGACTGTTCCAGAAAAGCCTTTTTTCTCTGCAATAGCAGATATTTCACAGGGCAGTTACTAAGTGATTGTGACTGGGTAACTAAAACTGGGGAAAGCAGATGACCCTATTAGAGAAATTTCCCTGTTTTTAAGTGAGTCCAGCTATTATTAGAGCATTTGGAATATCCTGTTAGTGTCTCAGGAAGATTTTAGGGATTAATAACTCTGTTTTTTTGCTCTGGCTTATGTCAGTAGTTACTGAAAAGCCCTAAAAATCACATGATAGCTGTTGAATCAGTAAAATTAGGTAACATCAATCCATTTTCTAATCAGCATATATCTGTCTAGCTGAACTGCTATATCAGGTATCACTTTTCTTGGTAGATGAACTAAAAGTTGAACATTTGCTAAGTGCAGCTGAAGCAGGTGCTGCTTAGCACAGGCTTTCTCCTTGTTGTGACTGAGGTACTGAGAGAAAAGTCCTCTGGCTGGTCTGGTGGTGGGGGTGGTTGGTTGGTTTGGGACTTGGGGTTTGTTTGGTTGTTTTAGTTTTGTTTTTTAAATACAGATGTAGGCTCTGAAAAAGGTAGTGTGGGAAACACATCTACAATGAGACTTTCATTTACATAATTTAATTGTGAAGCGTTCTGTATGTTAAAAACACATGAACCAAAATAGTTAAAAAAGATAGCAAATCTGGATGCCAGTCCCATGCCCCATTTCTTTCAAAATCATTTTAATTTGGGTAGTGAACACAACATAAAGATAGAAATTGATTGCTCATACCAACTTTAAAATGGCTTGAATGATTTTTCCAGAATAGATAGTAGAATATATCAATTTTCTCTTGTGTTCACAATTTTTCACCTATGAGGACGGTGTTCAGAACTTAGACCATACCTACAGATAGTCAAGATGGCTATTCGTTATTTCTAGTTTAGCTTGCAATTGCCCACAACTGTCTTGTAACGATTTTCAGCTTGTACAATAAAGGTCTGTAAATTGATCAGAAGATTAAAAATTAGAGGGGCTTTAGAGAGCATGAAGGCTGGATATGTTCACTTTTTTAGTTGCTATTTTAGGCTGATACAAGGGGAAGCTATTGCTTTGGGACTACTTTAAATTGGAAATAATATTATTTACAAACATTAATGCTACTGACTGACTTTTCATAATTCTGTTACTGCATGTTAAGCTGTCCATGATTCATGTAGTTTTATATAGTGCCATCTGATTTTTCTTGGATGCTTTCATTTTTCAGAAAGAAGGGTTAAATACAATATTAAAAACAAGGTATGCATTTTACAGTGCACTTAAGCATCTGTTGTATGTCCTTGCAATTGCATAGAGCAGGAAATGATGCTTTGAGGTACTTTGTGCAGGAACCTTGTATGAAAAATTCCCCAGGGAAATGATGCTTGAATCATTTTTAGTAGCCTTGGGGTTCTTCAGTCCTTGAACTCAATTGTATGCATTCTGACTCTGATTTTGAGGACTGAGTCTATAGAGAAATAAACAGACACATCTTGAGGAAGGACTATGGCACAATGATCTTTGCTTTATTAGATCTTATAAAAAAATCAAGCATTCATGTTTCATCTCTTGTAATGAATGAAAAGGACTCTACCCAAAAGACAGATTCCCTTATGGATATGAGATACTTATATATTTGTAACTTGATACTTGATTTGCAAGGAAATCCATGTAGAGACTTTGCCTTCAGGTGTGTGTAATTGCCTAAACACCTTGTGCTGAGCATCATCTGTTTCTTACTTGCTCTCTTGCACCCTTATTTTGTTTATGTTTTTGAGAACTTTTCTTGTTCCTTTTTAAAGCTTTTTCTGGCAAGGGATATTCTGATGTGTGTGCTGTGGTTGGAAGTGTCACAGGGTTACTCAACAGATGTTGACTCTTTATAAATCAGATTCTTGCTTGTTCATAGTGGTGGCTGAGAGTTGCTGTCTCACATTTATTACTGATACTGGCTTTTTCTGTTACCCTGTTGACAGGCCTTGCAGAGGATCCAAGGTTGGCATGATGGTCACCTTTCCCTTTTGACGTGTTCTTTCAAGAAATAATTATTTGGCTGTGGGTTCATGAGTAACTTACAGTTCAGTAATTTGTGAATGCGAAAAGTTTAAATTACAAGGAAGTTAGAGGTTCTTTTGCTACACTGAAATGCTGAAACTCCTGTTTCTAAAAGCTACTTAAGTTCTCTGAATGGCTCTATTTTGAACTGAGGTTACAGTACTTCTGTATGTAAATTATACTCATCAGTTGTTACACATACTAAAATTACCTTTTGGCTAATTAAGGAGGTTTTTGTTAGAAAAGAGATGGAAGTATATTGAAGACTTATATTTTTTCAGTGCTACATTTAAACCTGCTGTCTACCTGTTTCCAACTATGAGTATTTGCTTATGAACATTTTTCAATATCTGTGGTTGTTGGATCATTTTAAACTTTGCATCATGCGTTGCATATAAAAATCTGAGAGGAGAAACAAAAGATTTCAAGGGAATTTTAAATAGTTGGGTTGCTGTGAGTCACTTGATGGAGGAAATCACTGTAATTTTTTAGAGGCCAGTGATATTTTTTTTTACTAGGAGCAATTTCTTTTGCCAGTTTACTAGGATCAAAATGTTCTTACTGGCTCCAGTTTCTGCTTGTGTCCTGAGATTGAAAGCCTGAAAAGCGACATTTATTTGTGCAGAACTGATAAAATGCTCTTGTGTTCAGAAGCTGAACAGAGTGGTTAAGAACACCTCAATAACAAGCTCCATCCTTAGGCTAAAGGATTATGTAAATTTTACCCTAATCTTTGCATTGTTTGAACTTCAAACTCAAGCCTCTCATCTTGGCAGTTGGCAGTGCTCACTAATTTTTCGTTTATTAGTCATCTAATTGCAGAGCCTTCTCAGTTTCACACTAACACTTGAAAATATGAATGAGGATGATAAATGAGGACAGACTAGGCTGAGGTATAGTCCTTGATACTTATAACTCTTCTTTCCAAAATCTGCTAATTCTTCCAGGCTGTTTGGAAGAGCAGGCTGTCAGCCTGCTCTGGATTCTCCATATTTTCTTGTTCCTGCAGCAGCTCCATTTCTTGGCTTGGCTGTAGTGTCTGTTTGGATGTTTTTTTTCTTGCTGAAAACAGGGTTGTTGGAGGTAGGGAGGCTGGTCTTTAGAGCACTTGCTAGTATTTTCTGGTTCTCCCTGTTGGACAAGCAAGATGAGGGTTTCTGAGGATAAACTGTAGCATCTGTGGACAAATGTGTTGTGGTTTACATACCTGAATGCAAAATGTTGTTCTGGTGGATTAACTCTCACCAAGGAACTGCAGTATTTTCCTTGTAGTAATATGTGTTGTTCTTGCTGTGGTTAGAGTGGAAATGCTCAATCTTCTCTGTAGATGTTGGTTGGAGTTGGCTGAGCCCACCTTGCCAGCTAACACTGCAGTTTGAGATTGTAGCTCTAAGACTGAAGCAAAAGAGATTATTTTGGAATAGGACAGGGAGAAAACCAAGCAGTAAATTCTGACACGGATCAGCCAGTTGCTGAGCCACAGCAGCAGAGCTACTGGAGGACAAGAAGACTATTATTTCTGTTTGAATACCCTTTGAATAGGCTATAGGCTCTGGTATCTAAATTTGTTTCACGCATCGTTGAACTAGAATCTTTAGAGAAGGGTCATAGGATTTTGCATGCCTTCTTTGTGTTTCCTGTGTTTGAGTGCTGGTGTGGCACTCATTTTGAAAGTTGAAATGGAAGATTTTATGTAAGGCTGAGAAAGTAAATATTTTAATATGTTGCTTGAGTCATAGGTGTATAAAATTACCCGTAAGAAAAAACCCACCCAAGACTGCTTATTTCTGCACGAGAGGAAGGATTGCAGTTGGACTGTAAAAGGAAAGGAGATTTTTTTTACTTTTGTGTTTAGAATTTGCATACTGAAATGTTCAGAGAAAATAGCTAAGAGTGGAAAAGCAAAGATGAAGTCACAGATATGACTAGAGTAAAATGTCTTACTGGAGAAGTCTAACCAACTGCATGATCTGTTTTACTTGTATTAATTGAGGATATGCTAGTCAAGAAAATCATCCCTGAATTGTGTGGGAAGAAGAACTTTGTTTTGTACTTGTGTATGTGAGATACATACAGCCAGAAATGGGGTCCCAGAAGTCACATGTCTATTTCTAAATAGAAGGCAAATGAAACATGCAAGCAGGATGCATTTTTTGCGGTTCCTTCAAGTCTTTCATTGTTACTGATTTTTTTAATATCTAACCTCATTTAAAATTTAAATGTTATTCTGTATGCAATATGACCAGATGTCAGTGGTGTAAGGGGTGCTGCTTTAGTGTACACATTTGAAAATACTAGTGATCATCAAGCTCATTTGGTTATGGGGGGAGAAATTCTATTTTCAAGTGTAGAGGAATGTATAGGAATTCTTATTCTTGTTTTCTTTTTATTTTTCAATAATCCAAATAATAACTCCTCTGCATATGTTCTTCTATTTCAGACATCAAAAAATAAAGATGGAAAAGAGCAGAGTGAAGCTATATCACCATCGGAGGAGGAAGAAACTTTTTCTTGGCCTGGTCCTAAAACTGTTGTGCTAAGGAGGACATCTCAGGGTTTTGGCTTCACCTTAAGACACTTCATAGTCTACCCTCCGGAATCTGCAGTTCAGTTTTCTTTTAAAGTAAGTGGAAATAACAATAAAGTTCTTTATATAAAGCTGTACCTTTTAGGGTGAAATATCTATAAACTCATTTAATTTCAAGTAAGCTGGATTTGTCTTACACAGATGGAAGATCCCTTGTAATGCTCATGGCATTATTTAATAGCTGTTTGCTGATCTGTTCCAATAAGATGGAATTGACTGAGTATGTCAGTTGAAAATACTTGTATCATGGGTGAGAACAGTGGTTACTGCAGAACAGGAAAGCATTTCTCTCTGTACAGATTCTTCTATTACCCAAAATCAGCATCATGAATTAGTCTGTACCTCTTCTGAAGTGTAGACTTGAAGGGTATGAAGTTTGGGTTTCGTTGCTGTTGTCCCCTCCTCAACTGAAGTTTTTCACACTGTCACATTAAGAGATGAAGAATGTTTGCTTTAGTTTCTAACTGAGTAGCCTAAACATAGTGTACATTAAACAAATTGTGTTTCTCTGTTACATTCTTTCTGCTGAAGAGAGGATCTGCAGTTCTCTGTTAGTCAAGAGACAAATACATACAAGATATATGCAGACCTACATTAAAGTATTTAAGAAAGTACATATTTTTTAATTTAAAGCAAGAATACCTTAATGTTAAATAGCTAAGTGTGTACTCTTTTGTGACTGAAGCTTTTCAAAGTTCCTGTAATATGGGGTATTGAGAAAAAGTGCATTTAATAATGAGAGGAATTTGGAAATTGAGAGAGGGTGTTCAGAGTTCAAATAACATTTGCTCATTTTAAAGGCATCAAGTGTAATAGTTTTCATGAGCCATGCTACCCCTCAGCTTTGCTTTTGCTTTTCCAGTTAGGAAGAAGAATAAATTCTTACCAAGCTGGGTAATGGGTATTGAAGCTTTCTGGAAAGAGCATGAAGTTAATTGACTCATCTCTGCAGGTGTCTTTCAGTAAAGTTGTCTGCCTTGGTGGCTGTAAGATTTCTTTTGAAATAGAAAAAGCTTTGCAGAAGAAAGTTGGCACATTTTTCCAGTTTACTGCAGCTATTCAGCCTTCACTTGAATGCCCAAACTTTTTCCTTGACAAGGAGTGACTGAAGTTACATGGAAGTGAAACTGTTAGCAGTATCAGGTGATCCCAACATTTCTGTTGTTGAGCACAGGTAATAGCAGTCTGGTTGAATTCAGTGTGAAACAGAGGCAGGAGGGTGGGGAAGCCTTAGCTTTGGGCACAGCAAATGACACGCGCTTGTTAGCGTCTCTCAACAAGAGCCCCTATTCGTGCTGAGGGTGAAAATAAACAGCAGGAGCAGGATTAGCCTCCTTAACTAAGAAGTGACTGGATATGTTCTGGAAAAAAGCCATTACTAGATGTCTCTGAGGAGTCAATATGTTTTTCACATGCAGAAGGAGACAGGCACAAGGGAAGGGCATTACAAAAAAAGAAATGTCAGACCTTCCTCTGTTGTTCATATCTATGTTTTCTGAGAGACCTAAGTGATAGGTGAGCTCATAGTGAGCTCAACACCTGTAAATCTCAAGACTTGCCTTGAAGCTCTTAACTCCCTCTTTTTCTGCAAGACAGATCTTCATGACTTCTCAATTTTTTTCTGTTCTTTCTCTGACATGTTAGCTTCTGTTTCATTCATTCCTATTTGTCTGATTTTGAGAAGGAAGTAATGATGTGATTGGATACTCTAACACCTTTATTTGTGGATTCAGTTACAAATAAAGGTGGTAAGATTCATTTGGACAGAGCCCTTGTCCTGAACAGTTATATTAACCTGAACAGTTACATTAATTAACCTGAATTCTCTTAGATCTTTCAAATTATTACTTATGAGTCTTCATAAGATGGCTTTTGTTAGAAATCTATGTACTTAAGTTATAGTGTAAAAGAATGAAACTCACCTATTGTCAGCCTGATCCTAATGTGAGGCAAATCTGATTTCTTAGCTGTTCAATAGGATCTTCCATCAGATAAGGTTACCTACCAGCTAATTACAGTCTCTGTCATTGATTGTAAGCTCAAGTATCATTCCTCTCTCTTTCCTCATTGATCCAAATTATAAGTGTCTCAGAAATCACAGATGTTTCATTTTGTACTCCTCAAAGGAAGTATAACAATGATTAATATGATTTGGTTTTCTGAGTTTTTTTTAAATCTTGTAGTAGTCTTGTCCCTCCTTCACACTTGAGGATGCATCCACTGCTGATGTAAGACAGATAACAGCTGGATGTTGAAGATGCCCTTGACATACCAGCTGGAGTCACTCAATCCTTGGCCTGTTTCTCAGAGCCACAGCCTTTGTTACCACAAATGGCAGTGTGATGCTGTTGCTTTCCCTTTAGATCAGGCTGACAATAGGTGAGTTTCATTCTTTTACACTATAACTTAAGTACATAGATTTCTAACAAAAGCC